GCAGTATTCCCAGTAGTAGCGTTACATCAACCTGACTGGGAGGAACCGAGGGACCCCCCTGCCTCGGCAGGGCCCAGGAACCCCTCGAGCAACCCTGGTCCTCTTTGCTTTGTCTACCTGCAACTAGACCACATACAACAAAACACTGCACTGTTGAGAATAAGAAGGTATATGAGCATCCCTGCTGTGCCCTTCATAAATTTAGAGATAATTAAAGCTTTTTAAGGTGACTCCAGGTTGAAGCTAACCGCTCTGTGATTTAAAAACAGGATCTACTTATCTGTTGCGTCTTTATTCCACGTTTGTGTTGTTGCGAGCACAGCAGAATTTGAATAGTATAAGCGCTCTTCATAAATTCCTGCTTTCCATAAATTGCCCATCGGATCAAAAGCAGAACCTCTGTGCAAGAGCACAAAAATCTCCAGGTTTTGATTTGGAACAGACGAGGCACCCTACGTTCCTCTAAGATTAAAAAAAAACCCTGTTGGCACAGCACACAAGAAAGAGAGGCAAAGGAACTACATGAAATCACTTAAAACAAAGGAGGTGGAAATTCAAAAATAGTATGAGGAACTCAGATGACAGATTGAGAAGTAGATGGACTGCAATTAAGAGGACAACTTCACGTCCAAAGAGGATGCTCCAAACACCAGTCAGAGAACAGAGACCCTCTGGACTAGCACTGAGCTGAATGCAATATAATCCAGTCTTCTGACGGGAGGACAAATAGAGGCAAATTATCAGTTACATTTTTGCAATCTAGTTAGAGATAGTTACCTCTATGCATAATTTCATAGTGCACTTCCAAATTACAGGAAAGAAAAGAAGAGTGAATGAAATCCAGGAAAAAAAGAACTAGCTCAGTTTGGAAACTGCAGGTCACTCATCTTTTGAGCTTATTGAATGGGTCATCAAGGAAAATGATGACACTGCTAAAATAAAGCAGTACATTAATCACAAAAGCCAGTCATGAAAAAAAAGCTACCAGGTGTTTTTTCTGGGCATCAGAGAAAAGGTTTGGTGGTAGAAATGAATAAAGTTCAGGAAAGTCTGGGATTTGTATTTTTAAGCTTGTGACATCTAACCACCATGACCCAACCCAAGATTTGCAGTGAGAAAATTAGCCAAGGTGTGACCTGTGTACCCACTACAGCTGACCCCAAGTGTTCACCCAAGCTGTGCTCTGCTGTGCTGGGTCAGGGCAGAGGCCCCTCCAGCCCAGCGCTCAGGTCCTGGCAGAGGCCCACAGCAGAAACCATGCTTCCATGGTTGCTACCAGGCAAGCTCGTAGTGCATTTCCATTAAGTCAAAGCTGGAATGCTTTTGTCTTCTCTGTTTTTCTGGATCTTGGGATACCCTGTAAGGGATAACTGCATCAATGGCAAAAAAATCCATTTCCCGTTGAGAACGTATGCTTAAAGGGTTGATGTATTTGCAGGTAATAGGCTTAGGAGAGTTGGAGTCTAGACTGCTGACTAACACAGATAACAGACTTTAATGCTTTTTTAATTTGGTTACTCCCCCCCCGCCCAAGTTGCAATGCGGAATTTCTCACAAAACTCAGTGTAAGACCAGAGCCTCAGACCCTGAACCCCTCTGGAGCAGTGATTAATTTCTACATTAGACCCAAACTCACAGTACATTCACTTGATAACTATGATACATTCACATAATCAGTCACACTGACATGGGTGAACTAAATCCTACTGATGCAGGGAGTTGAACAGCCAGGTTTCAATCAGGGAAAGTGAAAATCTTGCTGCAAAGAAGGCAAGAGCCCGAAGTTTGCTCTCTAGAAAAGCTACAGACTGACCTATTCTATTCTAGACCATCTACCATTTTTATTGTCCTATACCTTGTACTCATGGCACTATCAAGTCTGGGACAAACTTAAATCTACTTCGAAGGCAAAGTTTGCATCTTTCCATCTGCCTTCCTACACTTTGTAAAAGTTATTCAAGAGAACCCAGCAAAGAACTGAGGTCTAAGCCTTATGACTTCCCACTTCTGTCCTGGTTCAAGGGAAAGGAAGGAAAAGCACTGTCCTGCAAAAGGAGAAGAGCAGAAAACAAAAACAGGTCAGAAGACCTGAAAGAAAGAGAAGAGGAACACGCTTACCATCGCAGCTCATAAAGCTAGAACAATGCCTAGATATCACAGTGAATGGCATTCAATATATAAGCAATGTCTTAATTAGCCATAAATATGGTCAGCTAGTAAGTGTTGAAAGGTTACCTGATACTAATTGTGAACAAGACAAACTGAGCTGCTTAAAACAACGTGTCATGAATAATTTCTCAGGGCTTAGCAATTCTGCATGCTTCTGTAATTTGCTCTTCTCTATTATTGTTGAATAACATTCTGCTAATCATTAATTGGATAATGATTTGTTTCTATCACTAATTCAATAACGTGTTCCAAAGTGCATTTTGAAAGCTCCCAGCTCTAGAGACCATAAATATCAGGCTTATCTTCACTCAACTGCTCTGGTTGGAAGGCAGGTCCCAAGTGATGGAAGTGGAGCCTATGGAGTTTTCTGCTCGCTTTTGGGCACTCTACACCCAAAGTCACCGAAATATCCATGTTGTCTGGAGACTGAGGCAGCACTGCTTCCCTGCTCGCCTTGCAGGGCACAGATGGTATCCAACACTGGGTAGTAATTAGGAGCTTGCACATCCTGGATATTAAATGGGGGTCTGGCTGGAGATGAAGAGTTTGCCTTTAGGGGTATTCAGAAGGTGGAAATATCTCACCCCTCCTTTCCATCCCACTTCCACAGCTAAGGGTGTTCAGAGCACTCTGTGAGCTGACTGCACGCACCAACCACCCCACCGGCCTCTGGCACGGGTCCTGGGCCAGCAACCTGCTGCAATCATTTCTGCTCTGGTCAAAAGCTGGAGACAAGAAAGCCAACAATAATCCCCTCGAGCTGCCACTCCCTACTGCCTCCCTCAGAAAAGCCGGACCATTAAAAATGCCACATAAATATCACTGACAGAAAACAGGCTTCAAGGTTATTCAGCAAAGCCCCACGCACAGACAACCTCCTCTTTGTAATAGTGATAAAAATCCTGAGTTTTTTAAAAGTGCAAGTCATGGCCCAGGCAAACCCCCCTTTCAAAACCCAGCAGCTCCCTTTTTGCAGAACGGAAGGTGGTGTTGTCGGGGAAAGGTATAGCGTTCCCCCTTCATGGGCCACGGAGGCACAATCAGTTGGTACAACAGCACATTGTTGAAACACAAACCACGGAAAGCTGCTTTATGAATCCGTGCAGCCAGCTGGAACAGCCACCAACAGCTGCAAGAGGAATTCACTCCAGGACTGAATCACTTCATCGGGGTGGGGTTTTTTTCTCCTTTTATTACGTGTGGCTCAGGCGGCCGATCCTCATCCTGAAGACCCTCCACAGAGCAGCCTCACTTCTGTCTCGGCTCCCTTACATACTGCGGAACATTAATTGTTCCCGTCATATTACTTCTTCTCCTCCTGAGACATCACTTCTCCCTCTCCCATCATCTAGCTCACCAGCAGGCTTCCAACCTACTTGCATCACATTGTGCGTTGTCCTAAGCTTTCTGACAGGAAGTCAGAGGCCATTAGCGGCTTGGGGCGGCAGAGGTACAGAATTTGCCCCCAGGATAAGGGCTTTAGTCTGTGAATTGATTTGGTGTAATGATCGCCATGAACCACAAATCATGGAAACAGAGAAAATATCCAGATGGAATGACAGTTCCTTCTTGCTCTGCTGCTGATTCTGCCCTCTTTCTGATTGATATGGGCTACTTGATTACATGTGAAATATCACAGAATCACAGAATGTTAGGGGTTGGAAGGGACCTCTGTGGGTCATCTAGTCCAACCCTCCCCGCCAAAGCAGGGTCGCCTACAGCAGGCTGCACAGGACCTTGTCCAGCTGGGTTTTAAATATCTCCAGAGAAGGAGACTCCACAACCTCCCTGGGCAGCCTGTTCCAGGGCTCCGTCACCCTCAGAGTGAAGAAGTTCTTCCTCGTGTTCAGATGGAACTTCCTCTGCTTCAGTTTGTGCCCGTTGCCCCTTGTCCTGTCGCTGGGCACCACTGAAAAGAGTTTGGCCCCATCCTCCTGACACCCACCCTTCAGATATTTATAGGCATTTATAAGGTTCCCTCTCCGTCAGAGCCCCAGCAAGCAGTGACACTGGAATAGACTCTCTCTATCAGCTTGAGCTTCAGGCTGGCACAAAATCGCAAGGAGGGGACCACTGGCTGCTGAAGTCGTGTGTACTTGGCATGAGTGACAGCAGGCGACATCGCAGGGGCTTTGCGATTAAATATGATTGTCTTGAGAAAATTCCTGCTTCCTTCATTTAAAACGACCATACAAACCTCCAGATTTAGTGAAAATGAATAAAAATTTCTGAACAAGTACATGCTGAACTAGGAGATATTGTCAAACAAAATGCTGACTGCCATATACCTTCTCCTAGGGTTATACTTTTATGGGATTTTCAGACTAAGAAATGCCTCTGGTGTTCTGATAGCGTAGCCATCTTTAGCCTTCTTCTACTTCAGTTCCATTGTAGAAATTCCAGTAGACCCTCATACTAAGGAACACCTCAGTATTAAGAGCAATAAGAAGATATTTTCCACCTGAACATGAAGAACAACTTCACTCTGAGGGTGACAGAGCACGGGAACAGGCTGCCCAGGGAGGTTGTGGAGTCTCCTTCTCTGGAGATATTCAAAGCCCACCTGGACAAGGCCCTGTGCAGCCTGCTGTAGGTGACCCTGCTTCAGCCGGAGGGTTGGACTAGATGATCCACAGAGGTCCCTTCCAACCCCGAACACTCTGTGATTTGAAGAACAGTGTTCAACACCCACAGCAACCCTGTGAAAGCTGTTCCAGCAAACAAACAGGTACATAGCTATGACGGGCTCCAAAATGAACCGTTTAGTGGGTAACTGTGCTCAGCATCAGGGCTATCTACACGCCTTGTGCACTTTTTAAAAATCCCCTTACCTGAACTGCTACAGCGAGATGGTTCCACGAGTCTGCCGGTCTTATCGTAACAGGCAATAGCTCGCAGTCGTACACCCTCGCCACACTCCTTGGCGTCTCCGTGGGCTCGCGTTCCCCGCCGCAGCTCCGACGTACCTCCTCTGAGCAGGCAGTCGGACCAATTCCCGTGGGGTTGGGAGGTAAACACCTCGCAGGGGCACGGCTCTGTTTCAACTTGAGGATAAACTTCTGTGTCCTGGCATTTGTCTCGCTTTCTGCTTCGCCCTGTTCCAACCACAGAAATCTGTTCGTTAGCTTAACATCTGCTACTTTTGATAACAACACGTCATATTATTTATACTTGCATGAATTCAACACATTAGAACCAAGACAATCTGAATGTTAATATCCAGGAACGTTTCCGAAGCATCTATTAGCTGCTGCCAGTGCTCTGGTGTGCAAGGACAACGTATTAATCTCCAGGGGCAACCGGAGAACTTGGAAATACTGTTTTGATGGGTAGAGCAAGGAGCAAAATGCAAAGTCTTACTCTAGGAACAGTCTGTCCAGATAATGCTTTGTAATTTCATATAATATAATTTTTCTCTAATTATCTGATGAAAATAAATTGATTGTTTTGTCTCTATTTGCTCACAATCCGTGGTTGCCCAGACAACTTCCAGAGGACTCTACATCAGCCACAGCTACTTCTTTGAGGCTACTTTACAAATTAGTTAATGATGCACTCTGCACACAAACCCTGCTTTGAAGAAAACAGAACAGATAATCCCCAGTAAATCACTGGGGCTGGGAAGCATTTCATTGCTTTCTGATTTTATGTTTTCATTTGCTCTGTTCCTTCAACAGGTTTTAAAAGCAGGCTCTTTCAGTAGCCTCAGCAAGCAGCAGCATTGAAATCAACCTGTGGTGCAGCTCTCTGCAAGTGCACTCTCCGTGCCCTGTTCCTGGAGGACTTCTAGACGTGAGAAGAGGTCCCTGACAGAAACAGAGATAATGTAAAGAAGAAAATTCATGCTCCCTGCATCCCTACAACTGCCCAAGGGAACAAATGTCTGTATACAGCCTCTGAAGATAAAATCAATGCTTTTCTTGGCATGGGTTAGCCAACGTGACGTGGAGCAATCTTTACACTGGCTGAGCTCAGGAACGTCTTTGCATTTGGCATCTGCACAGAAGGAGAGAATTCATCTTCACTAACAAACCGCTTCTGTATCCCATTCTCAAAATGTTCCATGGGGATCTTGGAACTTCTGCAAACAGTTTTTAAAGCTTTGATCCCAAAAGAAATCTTTTCTCTTTGGTAGTGTGCATAAATAAGACACTAAACACAAAAAATAAGTTCTATAACCCAACAACCCTCTTTCTAGTCTTGAACCACAAGTCATTTCACCACACATCAGTAGGAGAACAGGCTGGCTGTCGTCAATACCTATTGCATACAAACACCACAGCACCTCCAAAGAAAAGGGCACCAACCGCAGACCCTTAATATCACTGTCCTTCATGCCCCAGCTCTTTCAAAATTGTATTTCCAAAGTTCTGAGGAATGTAAAGTTCGCCGGCACAAAGGGATAATAAACACCAAGAAAATAGTGCTGGCATCTTTATTTTTTTATGTATATAAAAATATCTATCTACACATTTATGAGCAAATTCAGGTAAGGTATAAGAGGTACAACTCCACAAACTTCAAGGAAAGTCTTTAAAAAGGCTTTAAATAGATGAGAAGCTCTCTAGTGGCATTTCCAGCATTTTATGTTTGACGAGCTGACAGAAGCCACAAACTGAGTGTACACATACAGCTGTACGTTCTGCATTGTATTAGTAAACATGGGAATTTGGGACTTGCCCACATTATGCCATTATTACATGAAGCACGTCAGACACAGGTAAGGATGCTACTAATCTCACACTTATATGACACTTTTTTCCAACCTGTCCTGCCATCTGGAGAAGAGAAGGCTGTGAGGAGACCTCAGAGCAGCCTTCCAGTACCCGAAGGGGCCTACAAGAAAGCTGGGGAGGGACTTTTACAAGGGCTTGTAGGGATAGGACAAGGGGTAAAGGGTTTACACTGAAAGAGGGTGGATTTAGATGAGATATAAGGAAGAAAATCTTCATTCTGAGGGTGCTGAGGCCCTGGCCGAGGTTGCCCAGGGAAGCTGTGGCTGCCCCCTCCCTGGAAGGGTTCAAGGTCAGGTTGGACGGGGCTTGGAGCAACCTGGTCTGATGGAAGGGGTCCCTGCCCATGGCAGGGGGGTTGGAACTCGATGATCTTTAAGGTCCCTCCCAACTCAGACCATTCTATGATTCTATTCTATGATCTCTTTTGTAGGAATCTTCCCTCTAATGAATTTGCTACGAAAGCCCTGTTTTGAGGGCAAAAGTGACATTCATCCCATACCCTTCACAAAGAAGCAGTTTTAGAACTAGTGATAGTGGTATTTTTACCATCTTCACAGACTGCTTTAAAAATTACTATTTTTAGTAACTCACCAAAAAGTACATAAATCTTTCAATTAAATAGTAATTTCTTTTTAAAATTGAATTTATGAACATTGACAAATATTATGTACATGAAGCATTACCAGGTAGTATATGCTTTACATAAAAAAACATATGAAACATTAAAAATGTACCTTTCTACAGAAAATGTGCTGTATCCATAGTACAGAGAATTAACTGACTGTATTAATTAACTGAAGACTTACCTAAAAACTGTGTTTTCATTATAATGACTTTCAATTTTGATATGTTCTGTAATACGTCTTTCAATTCTTAAGTAATGACTAATTTTATATGTAGAGTCTATGATTACTTACAAAGTGAAATGAGTAATACTATTAAAAACTGAGTGGGAGGTAAGCAAATACTTAGCAAACAATTAGCAGATTCCCACTAAATGACATTGTTAATGAACTCCTCTAATGAAGCCGAAGCATTCACCTGAGCATAGACACACAGAGCGATGAACAAGGAGGTACAATTCATGCATGCTTACAGAAAGGTGAAATACATATGGATTAAGGAGTCTTAACAGCATGAAGGACTTCCCAAACAGCGCTTTCCTTAAATCTCCGGACTGAGTTCACAGGGATGAGATTTTTTTCCAAGACTTTTGGCCAGCTCCAATTCTCACCAAGTTTTATGGAAAGACAGGTCAGCACCAATCTCATCGACTTCCCCTTTTGAACCGTGACCAAACCAAAACTGACGTCCAATGTGGTCCTCCCTCACGGCTCCCCGTGGTGTAGGGCAGACGCCACCCCAGCACCACGACCCAGGACATCCCCCGCATGGTCACCACGGGCTTCTCAGGACCGCTTTGCCGCAAGCGGGCTGAGACCCAGAGCCCCTTCCCAGCAGGAGGAAGGGAACCCAGCAAGGTTGTATGGGAGCAACTGGTGGTGCTGGGTCACAAACGCAGTGCAGGTAAGGAGACAAGCCATCAAAACCTCAATACCAGAAACCGTTTTTGGTCCACTTACTTGGATCTATGTCTGATGTAGAACCGAGTAACAACGGGGATAGGTAGGGCCATACTGTTTTGTAACTTGCACAGATGTTCAAAAAGAAAATTCAGATTCAAAACCACCTGAAGTAAGTTTTCACTTAATTCTTACATATTTTCTGTAAGATCAGGCACCATTTATTAGAGGCTTTCCACTACTATAAACATACAGGCCTTGATATAGAGAACATTTCAGAACATGCTCTTTGGCAGAAACAATAGAGCCTTGTGTAATAACGATTTTCATGTGAAAGAGAACTCTTTGTCCTTTAATGAGCCATATTGACGAACGGCAGCTTGAAGCCATTATGTCTGTATACTGTAATTGTAAGTTACTGAAAACTTGGATCATTCCAGCAGTAACAGAGTAACAAGCTAGCCGTGCAACCAGGTACAAGTGAGTCTAGAAGAAAGGAGCAGTGGTAGCCACCGTACTTTGCTGCCATTCAGTTCCCAGGCATTATCACAGCAGATATTTTTACAACAACGTTCATATTTTACTCCATAGCAGAAGCCTTTGAAGTTTCAACTCTTTTCACAGAGCAAACTTAAGCCAGCTACACCACAGCTCCCAAACACAACACAGAAATACGAAAAGATGTGAGTGTTCAGGATAACAATAACAGTAGATTCCTTGTAAGCCTTCTGAAAGAAATATAATTAATTTTGATTTGACTTAGCTATGCATGTGGGGGGAAGACAACTCCTAACAAAACAAGCAGCTCCAAACTGTTAATGTCATCGAGTTTTAAAGCTTTTCAGCTTGGTCAGCATTCAAATAACATAATAACAAACCACGACAGCAACTACAGGAGACTGCTCCATGAAATGGTTTGAACTCTAGAGTGTTTAATGAATACCTATAAAAGATCAAACAAAACGGTTTTAACGATACTGTTTTTTCTTTATTCACGGTATTTATTTGCCCTGTTGAACTACTGGATACTGCTGAGCACAAAACTCCCAGTTTTAAATTTCCTCCAGATTTCAATGATCTTACAAAGAAAATCACACCGATTTTTATTCTTGTATACACATTTGCTCCATGCTGCCCAGATTAATAGGTCAGATAAACTTGCACAATGCGTAGTTACTGTTTTATTTGGTTTATGTCTAAAAATAGCTTTCTACCACCAAGGTTTCCTGCACCATTCTCATACCGATATGTGTGTGCATAAAGCAGGCACCAATCAGTATCAGATCAAAAAATCAATTAAGGACGATCACTATTCTGTCTGGATTTTCCCAAAACCCCAACATCACCCCACCACCATCTGAGAGGCATTATACACAAATATCACCACCAGATAAATACTCTAAAAGATTCTACCTGTGAGTGACCGTCTCCTACTTCTGGTCGATTCGCAGTCAAGCGAGCATGCTGTAAATTTAGACCAGGGGGTAAACGTGCAGTCGTCTTTGCAGGGAACGAGACACTCCTGTACGAGAGCCGGCATCGCTCCTGCCCACCGCATGCAGTCACCGACATCGGCAGAGTCCTCGTGCTCTGACAGGCACGTTACAGCTGAAAAGTAAAGGCACAGAAATCTTGATATTCTTATACACAATGTATTATACTCTGTGAAGTCAGCACTTGTGTTCTATGTGAGATTCACTCTCCTGGGTTAATAGGACAAAGCTGACTTATTTTTAGGTCGTTATTCATGCGTCACTCAAAGATGTGCTAGAGGCTTCATAAAACCATAAAGACACATTCTTATTTGAGCAGTGTGTTATCTAAATGACAACATAAATTCAATATTCTCAAGGAGGCTGTCATTGCAAGAGTTGGGGCAACAGCTTAACCAATGATACACTGTACGACCAAACGAGAAAAGGTAGAAAACTATAGTTATGTGCCATACAGCATATTTGGTAGAGGGCACGATTCCCAACTTGTGATGCACACAATACCCACAGAACTGAAACTGCTTCAAAGTGGTAGAAAAAAAGCTTCCTTCTCCAATACCGCCTTTCTTCCCGTATTTCAGATGAAGGGAAGAAGTGTCTGAGCAGCTTTCCCATACCGAGCGGTGACCTCTGCTACAGCTAAACGCTTCTTGCCACGAGGTGTAAACACCAGGTCTGCCCCCTCCAAACTGAGCTCCCTGAACACTGTGCTCTCCCGATCTCTGGCCATCTGAACCTTTGAATCTCATGCATAAATGGAGATGTTTAGGAAGAAGGGCACAAGCGTTCAGCCTCCGGCCACGAAAGGGGCTGCAGCTCCTGCACTCTACTAGAAGCCTGCTTTTACAGTGCACCATAGCTTGCTATAAGAGCACTACTGAATGGATCTATTAACAGAAAAAAAACACAAAAACAAGAGCTCGTCGGGTCTCAGTTGAGGACAGTGTCACCCTGCCGAGCTCCATCCAACCTCACGTGCCTTCGCACATGGGCAGAGGCAGAGCCGCTGTGCATGTACTGAGCCAAACCCCTTTTCCTTCAACATCCCTGTCCTTTTTTGGACTGTAATGATTAGTTTTTCAGGGTGGATAATGGCACTGTATAGCCATGATAAAGGACAAAAGTATTAATATATAAATCTGAGTCACAGGAAGCCTATATTAAAACTTGCTAAAGTTTCAGTGAATTAATAATAACTAATTATAATAAATAAAAATAGCCTGCACATCATGGAGTCTTTCTTTTCATTAATAATAATTAATTCTCACAATATCTCCAAGACCATAGGCTATTTATATCCTACATTGTAGGTTAACCAAAGCAAAGACAGGTCGTGACTTGATTAAAGTAATGAACTCAGGGACAGAGTTAGGAATTGAATTTGGCCCCAAGAGTTTAGTCAAGCCAGGCGCTCTGATTTCAGGCAAGTCCCCACATCCTATCACAAAGCTACAGAAGATGAAATTATTTAATCCAGATTTTATTATTTAACTTTAACAGCCTGTGATATTATTTTATGGAGATTCCTAAATAATTCAGGTTTTGGAGGCTGCATATATTTTTCCTTGTTGCCAGCACTTAATGTAACTAGGAGTGCATGAAGAAAAAGGGAAAAAAACCTCCCTGTTTTCTTACAGCTAAAGGATTTACCGGGGTGTAACTTTGCAATGAATACACATGATTTTTGGTTTTTAACTACAGTACTGTATGGGAGCAAGGGATGGGCTGGCAACCACCTGGAAATAAAAAAAATCTTATTAAAATGTAATCAGATTTCTAAGGAAAAAATCAGCATTTTGAAGAGCGTGGAAAAGGCAAGCGATCGTTAAAAGTCTCTTTAGACTCAAGTGACAGTAAATCAGCATATTAACAACTACCTCTAAATTGCTGATCCTTGCCTTTCACTTTCAGTCCCTGTGACCCTTTCCATCTCTCAACTCTGGCAGTCAGAAACTCGGAGACGCTCCCCTGCTCAATTACGAGAGCGCGAGGACAGAGGTCACCACTCTGTATGGGAAAACCGGGTAATTGCCCTCTCCCAGAAGGTTAAACACATAATAGACTCTGATGCCCAAGGTCTGTGTGGCCTCATTACCTTCAGCAAGGACACCAAAGATTCGGCAACGCAAACATGTCCATGCAAGTTACGGCCAAGTGAATGCAAACCATCTTCTCTGCATCGCTACAACCACTGGCATCTGCAGGGAAGCAAATGACACCCTGCGCTGCCAGCCCCACGAAGCAACGTTAGCAATCACGTAGCAAACCATCACGTTGCAATGTTTACTGCCACCTGACAGAAGACCACAATTAATTGAGGGCTACAAAAATGATCCGAGGGCTGGAGCACCTCTCCTATGAGGACAGGCTGAGAGAGTTGGGCTTGTTCAGCCTGGAGAAGAGAAGGCTGCGGGGAGACCTGACTGCAGCCTTTCAGTACTTAAAGGGAGCCTATAGGAAAGATGGGGACAATCTTTTTAGTAGAGACAGCAGTGACAGGACGAGGGGTAATGGTTTTAAACTAAAACAGGGTAGGTTTAGGCTGGATATAAGGAAGAAATTCTTTACAATGAGGGTGGTGAAACACTGGAACGGGTTGCCCAGAGAGATAGTGGAGGCCCCATCCCTGGAAACATTCCAGACCAGGTTGGACAGGGCTCTGAGCAACCTGATCTAGTTAGCGGTGTCCCTGTTCGCTGCGGGGGGGTTGGACTAGATGACCTCTAGGGGTCCCTTCCAACCCAAAAATGTCTATTTCTATGATTTCTATAATTCCTGACATTTATTAATGGCAACACAAGTGATGGAACTTCTAAATATTGATGTTAAACCAGACGCTCCGTGCTGCAATGAGTTATTGTCTACTGGCCTGATCTTCTGCACAGATGTCCTTAATTTTAAGCATACAAGTAATTCGCAGAGTTCTCTGAACCTATTTAGACGCTAAAAGTGATGGATATATAAGGACATTTGAGATCAGGGCAAATATTTGACAGACATCATGGAGCTTAAAGAAATTAGTGGCAATAGTCAAAATGGGCAGAGGAAAGTTAAATTAAAACAACAAATAATATAGTGGAATATACATGTATAACCATGGAAAGAAGGAAGAGCTGAAAAGAAGAAAATATAATGGACAGTACAGTAAGAGACACAAGACCTACAGGAGGAGAGGAGAAGGATCTCCTGTGAGGTGACTAGGGACAGGCAGGTGGTTGGAAATACAGAATTGCTTCTCTTCTCTACTTTAGGAATTTTTATAGGTGCAGATCCTGGTAACTCCATCAGATCATTCCTGACAAAGCAACAAAGCCTCTGTGTCAGCAAGCAGAGAAGGCAGTGGCCAAAGAGCAAGGAATCCAGAAAGCTTTTTTTGATGCCTAAAATACTACATAAAGAACAAACATTCCGCTTGCTTCCCACTCTCCTGGACTTCTGCACCTCTCCATGCCAATGGCGTTCTTACTAAGCTGGAGGGCCCAGACGAGCACCTCTTTGGTGACCCAACCAGCAGGTGCATCGCTTTGCTGGGAGAGCAGGCACTTCATGTTTTACATGCACAAAATAAAGCATCTGGTACCTTTACACACCAAAAACCCACACCTCCTCAGACCAGCCTAAGCAGTGTGATGCATTTCACTCAGCTTAGAAGGCAACTCATTCCCACTCCAGAGTCTGGAAGCATCTTCCAAGCTGATGCCAATACATGACTTCTTCATTTTGAGCTGAATAATCTTCAAAAGCCTGAGTCGGTGAGCCCGATCTCTACAGCATGTCAGTCATAAGAAATGGCAGGATTTCTGCTCCGTGCTTATAGCTATGTTTGAGGTGAGCAGCACCAACTGCTAAAATAAAATAGTGAAACAAAAGTCAATCAGGGCAGTTTAATGGGCTGAGGAGGGGCAGAGAGGAAGCAGCAGAGCTGACAGATCCACTCCAGTGGTTCAGGAACCAGTCACCTCATTACTGTCTGCTGCACACTTCTTCCCCATTTAAGTTAGCTTTAACTGATAAGAAAAAAAAAGTATTTTCAAATATATGCACTTCTGGAAACAGAATGAGACAAATTTGTCTTCAGTGGACTTTCAGGTAAGTTAGTAAAATTATTTCTCCTCAGTGGTTTCAAACTAGTGATTGTTTTGGCTCATGTATGCTTTATGTTGCATGAAAAATATTTCCCCGTAATCCTCAGTTCTGTCACAATAGTTTTAAATAAACTCCTACCACAAAGCCATTTCTACTATGTCAACATCTCATTTTTTTTTAAAGTGGGATACCACTGGAGGGCAAATGCAGTCCATTTGCAGCCCTATGCACTGAGAAAAAAATCACCTAGTAATGATAAATCCGTCCTAGATACGATCTGTGATTTCTACCATCTCTGCGGCATTTAAAATGGACACAAACATATGAATAGAAACAGCTAATAACAGGACCCTGCCAGATAAAGGGTTTCAAATTATAATACTGATTCCCACAAAGAAGCGAATTGCAGGATTTCCTTCTGAACTCCCACGGTTCTTTCTTATTACCACCAGTCAACGCTACCAAAATGGAATTAAATACTTGGGGCCAAGCTGCAGGATGACAATTTAATGCAGTTCTGTTCATATAAAACAATGTCTGGCACAAAAAAAAAAGCACACCTTCTCTCATAATGATAAAAAGAAGAAGATGAATTAAACTAAAAGGTAACCAGGTTTAAAATGCTAAAAGAAAATACCTTTTTCTCAGAGCAGGGCTGGAATTGTTTACCAGACAGCGTGGATACACCCGTTCAGCTGCCAACAAAAGTCAGCGACTAACACGAGTGATGAAAAAAGCTGCAGATGCAACCGCTTTCCCTCAAGGCATAAGTCAAGTGTTAAATGCATGGTTTGGGGAGGAAATCTCCCTTTCTGCTGGTAAGGAGTCCTGTTAGGATACTCCACAAGGACTGCTAACGAGATACTCAGTATGACAGTCTCTGTCTTCTTGCTTTGTATTTACACCCACCAGAGCATGTTTGTATGCCATCAGCTCAGCATATGGCACACGGAAGCATATGGAAGCTATATTCTTTAACTACATTCATCTTAAATTAAAAATAAACAGCAGACACTTCCATAAACTTTT